GACAAAAGTTGACTGAATCTTGGAGATTTATGTAGAAAAGATTTTATTTGCCTATGGAATTTTATGTTTCTTATTCTGGATAAAACTTTCTTAAACAATTCCCACGCATTTCCTTTGAGTTTCCAGCATGTTTTTCTCTTCATTTGATGAGAAAAAGATCTTCAAATCACATCTTACATATTTCCTATTATTTCTTTATTTAATTTTGACTTTTAATGAATAAAAAAATCAAAATAAATAATAAAAATAATGAAATAGAGTATGAATGAGCTCAAGGGTGGTGGGCCATGTTAGGAACAAGTTTCAAGCATGAAAATATGGGTCCATTTGGAAAAAATTCAAGTTTGGTCAATATTGGCTTCATGCGTATTTCCAAAAATGGGTCAACTTTAGCAATGCATATCTCTCTCATTTTTACCCTAAGAGCGTGTTCTTGGACTTTTTAGAAAGCTTAGTATGTCCTCCAAATAAACTTTTTGATTTCATCTCAATTGGATCTTTCATGTTCATGTAAGGAGCTTTGACCCAAAAGGTGTTTTTGTTGACTTTTTGAAAGGACCTGTAATGTATGAGCTTGTATATTTTGATTGAGGCATTTATTAAATTTGAGGGCTGGAGAGAAGTTGTAGTGAATTGTATTCTATTAAAAATGAGACTTGGAGGAAATTTTTCTGATAAAGTATGAGAAACTTATGTCTGGTCAAAGTTTGGTTGACTTTTCCTATAGAAACCCTAATTTGCCATTTTTGCCTTTTGATGAGTTAGGAGCATTTCTTGAGGAATCATGATCATCCCTTGATCAAATGATGGATATTACTTCAAAATTTTGGTGTTGACAAAAAATCTTAAAGTTTGACTGTATTTGGGCCACATTTGACTTTTGACCTAGTACAGTTGATTTCCAAGCATTTGAGTAGTTGACTGAGCAAACTTGTTGTTCAAGGCATGAATTCTGGCATGGATGATCTTGAGGACATATTAGGATAATGGATAATATTTGGTATCTTTTGGACTCACCCATCTTGCTTAAAATTGAAACGCTAGTTAAGGTTTGTTGCCTTAGGAGGAGAATTTGTCTGGTCAATTCTTGGTCATCCTTGAGCAATTGAGGACCTCTAGAGGCATGTCTTGAGTGAAAATTGGAGGGCAAATTTTAGGGTACAACAGCATGGAACTCTTGTTCTATAGTGGAAAATAAATCCAAGGGATTGTCTGTATTGGAGTTGTGTCAATTTGAGTTAAGTGGTTGGTTGGTGTTTGCACAATTGAAGTGTCATCTGAATCACTTAGGATGAGCATTTCAGTTTTTTTGGAGTAAGGAGAAGTTGTTGTTTGTTTTTTTGGGATTAAAGGGTCATGGTCCTTATTGAAAGGAAGTGTTATTATTCTCTTCTTGTTGTCTGTTTGTGAAGTTTCTCCTTAAACTGGAGTTTAGTTGTGTGACGTCCTCACATAATGGAACATTTGTTTCTACATGGATTGAAAGACATCCTTGTATCTTAAAGAATTGGGAGAAGCAAATTTATTCTGAACAATCTGTGTGTAGTATGATGCCATGTTTATTAAAGTATGCTTCAGATACGTGTTAGAGGAAATCTCCTCTATAGGTGCAGAAGGTTGGCGTCTAACATCTCAAAGTCAGAAAAGAGGTATAAACATTAGAAGAATATCCTTGAGATGTATAATATGTCGGTTCTTGCATGTCTGCATGTGGTTATAATCTGGGTGTGAAGGTTGATAACCTATTGATGGTTGATCCTCTTGTTTCCCTTGAAAGAGTTGTCTATGGACTTCTATGGATATTGTCTCCAAATCCATAGTAAATGATCAAGTCCATGTCTTTGAGACTAATGTCGGAATTGATGTTGAAATCATTACAAAGTTTGCCGCAACAAAGGCGTTTTCAAAATATTTTCAAATTTTCACCCATCACAAAACACATTTTCAAACAAAACAATTTTCAAATGATCTAGCAAGCAACTAAGAGTCCGTAGATAACTACGGATGAAAAGGGTGCTAACACCTTTCCTTTTCATAACCTACCCCCCGAACTCAAGAAAACATCTCTAAAGGTCTTTCATGTTCTTTTCACCCTTTTCTTTATTGGATAAAAGAAAATTCGGCGGCGACTCTTACTATCCACAATAATTGCGATCAAACGCAAAACATCCAAGTCAGTTCCCACCGTATCATAGTCGGTATTGTCGTTGTACTCACTTAGACTGGTATAAATTCGGTTACAGAAACTGCAACCGTATTTTCCCCTATAAAATAGGGGTTGTTCTTCATTATTTCTTAGTGGATTGACCATTCTTCTAACATATTTTCTTTTGGGTAATGCTTCGTTAGTTCTGACTATTCTACCACTTCTTAATCTCATGCAACAATGTTAAATAAATTTTTTGTAGAAAATGGTGAAAATTTCTAACAAAATAGACACTTGGTCCCACAAAGTGTGTCAATTTATTTACCGTAAAATTTAGTAAACAACTGTTATTCTTCCAAATTCTAATGACTCTGGATACTTACAGGATCGACTAGATTGATCCTAGGACGATAATGTATATTTTGTATTCTCGAAATTTTCTGGATAGTATTCCCTTCGAAAGAAAAAGTAAATCGAAAGGAAATGACAAAATGATTTATGAAAATAACATGAATGTAAAAGAGTTTTGACTGAATCTTAAAAAGAATGTAAATGATTCTTATGAAAATAAATAAATACTAAAAATTAATGTGGTGTTTCATATGTACATTGCTCAGAACTCGTTTCTCGGTTAACTTTGATACTTTGAGTAAATAGAGTGATTTGTACAATAATTGAACACACCAAAATCTAAACTAGAGACTCCTATTTATACTAATTCTAAATGAACGGTCTTATTATCAGAAGATAACACATTCTTGCTTGCATGAGCTCGATCCTTCAAAGACCTCCACGCGTATCTTTTTCAAAAGGAACAAGTAAGCGCCAAAATTCGAATGTTCAACCTTATTTCAAATCTCTTCGTCGAACCTACCACAAGTGTCTTTCGAATATGAAATTTTGAAATCGTCTTATTTTAGTGAAAGTCTGGTTGAAAAGACCATTATATTTTTGTCGAACCATCTTTCCAAAATTCTCAAAAAGCCTTAGTATTTTTATGAAATCTTGAGCGTCGAATTTTCCAGCTAACACCTGCCAAAAAAACTGAAGCCTAAGCCTAATTTATAGTCTGTTATGGATTTATTTTTAAGTCTGAGTCTGACTTTTTCAAATATCTGGTTAGCCTACATAAAAGCCTATATATTATAGACATGTAAATAAGCAATTCAAGTAATGTTTAAATTTACTAACAAACTAAAAGATCAACGAGACTAAAAATTGTTTACGTTGTCTTATTTTAACTTACCTATTAGCATAAATTTTGTGAGACTATTTAAGAAAACTTATGAAAATAACTTATGACATTGTTCATAAAGTGTTTTCATCTTATTTTCACAAGTCCTCCAAGATAACCAAGTTTTATTTATGTATTTTAATTCAAAGTACAACATATAACATGATATAATAAAAAAATATTCATATTTATTTAAATAGACTAGTCTGATAAATTTGAAAGACTTTATTTATGATCTGAGATCTAATCTTTTTAATTAAATAGATTTAAAAAAATAATTAAAAAGATTCAAAGACCTTAAAGGTATGTTGTGTAGGCTAGGTCGTAAGTTCTTGTTAGTTTGCTTAAACTATTTTCAAACCTACTTGAAAATTATGTCTCTTAAAAAAATTCAAAAACCTTAAGGGTATACTAGGTAGAGGAGAAAAAGAAGAGAAAGAAGTTGAAGAGAGAGGTTGAAGAGAAAAGTAAAATTTCTCTTGTTTGATTGGGGTGAGAAAGAGAACCGAGAGTTATAATCTACATATTCCACCATTTTTTTCAATCATTTCATAATAGGAGAGAAATGAGAAAGAGCGTTAATTTTCCAATTTTACCCGATCAATATATTAGTAACTTTTATAAAAAAAATTAATTCATAGTGTAATAACTTTTTTAACTAAAGGGGTATTTTTATCTTTTTAAAAATAATTACTTTTTTCTCTTCTATTTCTTTCATACTTCTGTTATAATAAACAATATATCAAATCTATTCTATTTCAAACTCTTTCTCACATCTATCTCTCTTCTCATTTTCATCTTACACCCAATCTCACCCTAAATCCTAAGGCCTATGCCAAGCCTATTATAAATGCTAGAAACTATTCAGACTATGCACTAATTTTATAATTAAACTTCACAGTCATCGTTAATCAAGTCATTACTAACTTGATTGATTGTGAGAACCGACGATGGACTGGATTGTGAGAACCAACGAACTAGAGTTGGTTACTTAGATTATCATCATCAAAAAGTCATACTGGATAAGTTTTATACTGATACTGATAGGTAGTCGGTCACTAGTCAAATGACATTTATTGACTAAATCTACAGAACCGTTGATTCCAATTGAAAATGAGTCTCCAAACACTTTACCGGACCTCTCTTAAACCCATAGAGTATATCCATAGAGCCTCTAAAATGCCTTGAGGAAACGTTTGCCATCGAGAAAGTTAACATCAAAGAAATCATCTAATCGTTATTTGCCTACATATGTTATTACAACCATTTAAGAATTTCCCACCTAAAGGCAGTATAACATACATTTCCAAAAGAGTGTAGTCATAATTTCCTAGTTTAAGTTCATGTATGAAGGAAGCATTCAAGACGAAAACATAATAACCCTTTTGCCCTAAAAGATTGTTACAAGAACAAGTAAAACAACACAAATTCATATAAAACTAGACACGGCAAGAAACATGTTAAATTGAGCCTAGAAGTAGAAGCCTAAAGATATGAAAATAATATGAGTTATCATTGCAATTCTCAATATCCAAAGTGCGCCATTAATAAGCATTCCATACAAATATTCAAAAATCCACAAATCCTACAACCTAACAAGACAGACTAGGTGAAAAACACTTAAATTCCAAAACCAAAAACAGCACGTATCCTTTGGAAAATAAGTTCCCGCCATCCCCTTTCAGTGTTCTCCACCACAGTAGCATTGCCATACCTGCATCAATAACCAACCATATCAGCAAAGCACCCTAAAAATAAAAAAGAAAACTCCAATCCTTCAACAAAACATAACCAATATTCAAAACACTCACCTATCTTCCTCAGGTACATCAGTATGTGTCAGCTTAACAACAGTAACCCCTGGTTCAGGTTCCTCGAAAACAAGTTTCACCTATAAAAACAAACCATCCTTTTATCACTACATTGATTCAACATCCAATGACGTTTTCAAAGAAAGTTGTCACTGGCAACAAAGAAAGTTGTCACTGGCTAAACCGTAACATAATCAAGTAGTCGTACTAAATACTAATTAGCTATCTAGCTGAGACCTCTAAAATAAGGCGTGTCTATGTCAATATCGGTATTTGGAGCTGACACTAATATTGACACTTGTAACTGTTTAATTCATTCATTCTTTCAAATTATTATTGGTGTTGACGTGTTAGTGTTTGTCTGTTTCTGATGTCTCTGCTTCATAACTAATCAGAGAATAAATATCCCAGTTGTTCTTGGAAATAGTAGGGTTAGGGTTAAATCAACCTAGTCATCTGCCACGTTATCATTATCAATATTCAAAAATGATCATGAAACTGCAAAATATGCTAATCAAGCTTGATTCTATCAAATGCATCCCTAACATAAGTTCACTTAGTTTCAAAATCAAAATCAAAATTATATACCTGCGATTGAACACCATCAGCCCAGCTCCCGAATCTCCATCTCTGCACAATCAACTTAGCTTCTTGCAACTCCAAATTACTTCCAGTAACAGACCCATCAAAAATACTGAACTCACCACCAACCTCTTTACTAATCCTCGCATTACTCTGAGTAAAGCCCTTCCACCTATTCTCATCCATCAATATCTCATACAAATCCTTCGCCCTACAACTAAACTTCTCCGTCAACACAATATTCTTCCGTCCTTTCTTACCCTCCTTCTTCTCCACCACACCCTCCTTCTTAACAGAATCACTCTTCGCAGTCTTGGCAGCTGTCGCCGTTGCAACCGGAGCATGATTCTGATTCTGATTCTGCTTCAGCGGCTGCGGCAAAGGCTTCTTAGTATCCAACTCCTCTTTAACAGGACCACCTTTCGCCATACTCTGAACCCAAACCCTAACCTTTTCCAAAATCAACCCCTTCCCCTTCAAAAACATCGCATCCTTAATCCTCTTCCCAATCGGTCCCTCATCTTCAACCGTAACCCTAATATCAGGATCCTCATCCGCGTTCTCATCGGAGATATAAGGGATTTCAACAGTACCGTTAACTTTCATCAAGGAATTACCTTCGGTGTCTTTCGCTTCACCTTCCCATGAAACAGTGAGATTCACCTCGTAGCCGGGGATGATCTTCCCCTTACGAATGTTGATGTAGGCTTCGCCGTCGAGGTTGCGGAGCGTGGTGGTTTTGATGAAGAGGTTACCTTCGCCATTGAGAATAACAAGATTTGAGAGGAGGTTGGTGAAGAAGGTTCTGGACCATTCTAGACAGTTGGTTTCGGACCAGTGCCAGTTGTGGACGTTTGTGCCGTCGGGTCTTTCTTCCACGATCCACCGTTTATCGCCCTCGCCGTATTTCGCCATCCGACGGTGATAAGTCGTGCCTCGATGTTACTAGGAATGAGAATGAGGATTAGGATATTAGTGAATGTGTCTTTCGGGGGAGATGTGAAGAGAATGGTTTGATTTAAGATAGAATGGGGGAGTGCTCGGAAAGGTCTAGAAGGATGAATGGAATTTCTGTTTTAGGGGTTCAGATTTGATTTGAGAATGAGGGGAATGGAAGGCTCTAGAAAGTGAAAGACCAATCAAATAACGGACTCAGTGCGGCCTTTAGCCAAACATGATATTGGCCCGGTTTTTTATATCAATAAAAGTATATTTGAAATACACCTCTAAGGTAAATTCGAAGATATATGTCCGAAGTCATTTAATTTATAATTTTTTTTTTTTATTACTCGCTGATGTTTTTAGAGATGTGTTTTCAAAAATGTCTATCAGAAATTTAAATATATAATCATTTTGTATTATCATCTTACTCATTTTTTAAACAATATCAAACACATCAATAACCAAAAAAATTTGAAAAAAAATCTCTTTAGCAATCAATTTTTCGATTCAAAATCAGATTCTGTGTATTCTAACACATCAAAGGGAACATCATAAGTTAGAATTTAAAGTAAATTTCTCTCATTTCATTCTCATTGTTTGCGTTGTTCTTTAGTTTGAGCTGAAAAACGTTCATATATTTTAGATATGCATATCCAAATTGGCCTACCTACATTATTTCAGATATTTATTTTTGAATTCAACTGTTACTGGTTTTTAAATTTTTTATTGTTTTGTGTCTTATTAGATATATTTCACCCGAATATGTTTCCCAAAGTAGATGTATGCGACAATGTAAAACAGGATGTAGCGAAGGATAATGTTAAACCGGTTGAAGTTAAGCAGAATATTAAATTGGAAAAAGTGAAAGATGATGTTAAAGTAATCCAGATAGACGTTGGTCAACGTTTCATCAATGAACAATTATATATTGCTCGCAAACATATGCTTCGATGAGTCGGCATGGTAGCCAGGAATTGGGGTTTGGCATTGTAATTGGAAGGTCCGACAATGGTTATAATAGAAGACAAGCATTTGTAACCATGACGTGCGAGAGAAGTGGTATGTATGTTCCCCCGATTCGAAAGTTGAAACGTGTTGACACTGAAACGAGGAAGTGTGGTTGTATGTTTAAACTGCACGGATATTATAGCGTCGATGAAATGTGGAAATTTAATGTGCTTTGTAGAATACATAACCATGAATTACAAAACAAACCTAGTCGATCATTTTATCGTATGTTGTCCTAAACTGGAGGAGAAGAAAATTGTTTCAAACATGTCTTTAATCAGAGTGAGACCGAAAAACATACATGCAAATTTGAAACGAAAACACATAGAAAGTGTTTCAAATATCAAGCAAGTATACAATCAGCGTCATAGAAACAACATGGCGATAAGGGGTCCCAAATCCGAAATACAACAACTTTTGAAATTTATGGATGAAAACCACTATGTTTCTAGGTACGCAGTATGTGACGATGAAGTCATTGTTCATGACATTTTCTAGACTTATCTCGAAAGTATCAATTTATTCAACACATTTCCTATTGTACTTATTATTGAAGCAATATACAAGACAAATAAGTATAGGTTTCTGCTATTTGAAATGGTTGGTGTTACTGATCAGAAAAATAGCAAGTGTATTAATTCGCCAATGTAGTAATAATGAGAAATCCCAAAGTATCGATCTCAAAGACTGCATGGTGATATAGAGTTGTCGTTTCAATTCAGTTAAACAAAAGCGTTTTGGGTTTTAGTTTGGAGTTTTTGCTATAGAGAAATAAAACAATAAATAAAAGTAAACAGAACTGTTGAACATATTTAAGTCTATGAGAGTAAACATGCTAGGGAATGAGTGTAATCGGATCCATTGATAATACTAACCTGACCTTGCAATAACATCTTATAAACTATTGATTACCGATTCTCAAGAATGTCTGCTCCTAAGTCCTTAGTGAGTAAATCTTTAAATATTTAAATTAACTCTTATGTCCATAGTAAATTATAGATAAAATTAAACATTAATTTATCAAGAACAATTTGGTTCCTGTAGGGTATCTCTAGTCCTAGGTGATATCTACTACATGATACTTTCAATTGAGCGTTAACATTGACAGTCCTGCCTAACTATTAACCGTAAATCAAAACTCAATTTTTCTGAAAGAGAAAGCATTAAGCACAAATAAAAAGTAAGTTTAATAGAGAAGAAATTGTTGTCATTATAAGGTTTACATAAAAATCATTAATAAATCCAGATCAGGGATACCCCCTAGCATTGGTGGATTTATCTCCTCATAGAAATAAAAACCAACATAGAAAAAATCATAATCATTACAAAAATTTAGATGAATGGGTCTTCAATCACGAAAAACTCTTAAAGATCTTGATCCACCTTGAAAATCTGAGTTTTCCAGCCTTTAAAACGTGTCTTTGCCATCAAAAATCGTGCAACCCGATGAAATTCGCGTTCCGGGGTTAAATAGAGCAATTTTGAGTTTTTTTAACGGTTCTGGGCGCCCACACGCGTATGGGTGGGTGTCATACGCGTATGGGAGCATATGGGCATGAATTTTGTGTAAGGTACGCATATGGGGCGTCCATACGCGTACAGTACGCGTATGGGCAGCAACGCATTTTTTTCCATATTTTATACGCGTATGAAATGGTTAATACGCGCATGAACCAAGCTGAATTAGACTTCAGTGTCTTCATGGAAGTTATAGCCCTTAATGTTAGATTTCATTTTCCGCCAGTTCCACAGTATTTCGAGTTATGGCGCTCTAGTTATGATCAAAATACCACACACTTGTCGTGATGAAAAATATGCTGAAAATTTCTAGATCTCACATCTTTATGAAAATTCGCGGCGTTCCTTTTCTGGCCATATCATTGACTTCCTCCGACCTACAAAACACGTTAACCTTCCCAAAAAGATCAAAAATACCATGAATACTTAAAACATCAACAAATACGAAATTAAAGAAACCGACACATAAATCACTCAAACTATATGAAAAAGACAAATAACTCGCCTACTTTCACCTGGTAAAGTAATAATAACTATAGCAGAAATGGTGACTGATCACAATCCCAAAATTAGCTTGTTGCTTGTCCTCAAGCAAATTTAAGAACAAATAACTCATGTCACCCCCAAATGAAAGAAAAATAATGTATGTACCACAATACCTCTGAGATCTTTGATGGATCTCTCTTGTTGCTACCTTCAGTTTTTTACTAGATTACCGTGGTCGATTGATCGACTACACCTTCACTTGAAAGAACTGCTTTACTTGTCATCTCAATTTATACTCTCATAAAATCTCTCGTGTGTTAGCGTGTTTTACACTCAATATTCACAGTATGCAATATCATACCATATGCTTGAATAAATTCCCTTTCGATTACAAGATACATAACACACACTTTTTTAGGTCTTTCTAGGTTGTAATGAGGCTAGGGTTAAGGAGAGATATATTTTGGAAAAAGTGGCTAAGGCTCAGAGTTACTACAATTGTTACCTTCACTATGCTCATTCTAAGGAGTTACTACTGAAATTCTTTCTTGCCTTCACTCTTTAGGAGAAGTTGTTATTAAGGATTCAACTTTTGGATTAGATTTTGTTTACCATATTCAATGACTTCTCCTTCTTCTCGAGTGCCTTTATGATTATTTTCTTTTGTTTGTATTTCTTTTTTTGTTTCTTTTTTGATTTTTTTCAACTTTTCATCTTCTCTCTCTTTTTTTTAATCATCAGGTGCTCTCATTTGTCAAAATACATTGCATAGTCACCAACCCTAAACTTAAATGTTGTGAAAATTTTGGTATGTCAGACTTTAGATGTCATATAGGATGTCGAGACATCTGATCTGACCAAAACAACATGGTAAGGTATAAATATATAAAAATAGTACTGAAAATCATAACAACACATAGGAATTGTTAACCCAGTTCGAAGCAACTCTCCTACTCTGGGAGCATACCAAGTCAGAGATAAAGTCCACTATAAATAGTATCAATTAGAAGTTAAACTAGTCCCAAGTATACAACTTCTCACTTAATCACTACATGTGATAACTTTCTATCTAAGACTCACCTAGATATGAGGCTCTCCTCAACTCCCTCATCAATCACAGACAGCAATTGGATCAAAATAGAAAGACACACTTCCATGATGCAAAACTAGATGACACACTTCTATGACAATATTAGAAGACTCACTTCTAAAACAATACCTAGCCAAGACTCTTGACTAAGAACACAACTTGGAGTTACTTAAAAGCATCCTCCAAGAATAATACTCACTCTTGCTTCACAACTTCGAGGAGAACAAAACCATACAACTCGAGGAACACAATCCAACTCACATGTTGAGTGGAACACACAACCAACTCTCTAGAGGTCTTTCTAGGTTGTAGTGTGGGTAGGGTTAAGGTGGGATATATTTTGGAAAAAGTGGCTAAGGCTCAGAGTTACTACAATTGTTACCTTCATTATGCTCATTATAAGGAATTACTACTGAAATTCTTTCTTGCCTTCACTCTTTAGGAGAAGTTGTTATTAAGGATTCAACTTTTGGATTAGATTTTGTTTTCCATATTCACTGACTTCTCCTTCTTCTCGAGTGCCCTGATGATTATTTTCTTTTGTTTATATTTTTCTTTTTTCTTTTCATTTTTGATTTCTTTCAACTTTTCATCTTTTCTCTCTCTTTTTTTAATCATCAGGTGCCCTCATTTGTAAAAATACATTGCATAGCCACCAACCCCAAACTTAAATGTTGTGAAATTTTGGTATGTCAGACTTCAGATGTCATATAGGATGTTGATACATCTGATCTGACTAAAACAACATGGCAAGGTATAAACATATAAAAATAGTACTGAAAAGCATAACAACACATAGGAATTGTTAACCCAGTTCGAAGAAAATCTCCTACTTTGGGGGCATACCAAGCCAATGATAAAGTCCATTATA